GTTTACTCATCCAATTCCCAACAGATTTTGACCAAGAGAAGATTTGTAATGGCTGATCAAATTTTCGTTTAAGCATTTGCTTATTTCAAAACAAAATATTATGTTTTTTCTTCGTAATGATGAGTTGCATCAATGACTATCGGTTACTGAAAAAGAGATCCCAATTATATGGACCTTTTTTAGCGCATTTCCCTACAGGGAAGTAGCAATTGCCATAGGCCTTATAGCAAGATCTGGGCCTGAGAACAATTTACTTTTTCATTTTGATATCCCCAGAGGTTTTATATATGTTTTAGATATGTCCGTAAACGTTATGACTTCACGTTATAAATCGTCACGTATAAAAACGTCTATAAACAAAAATTTTAATATTTGTCCATTTTTTATGAAACTGGGGGTATAAGGCGGGATAAACTTGAACACAGACGAATAGTTTACTTGGGAATTATTTTTCCTGTAAATACACAATTTGTATTACATGTAAAATTTATTCAGGAATAAAGAGATTATGATTTGATTTGATTTGATAGAGTTGGTCACATGATTGGACCACGGTTTTACGGAGGGGTCTTATAGGGTAAAAATTAGATTTTTTTCTATTTTTGACCCTCAAAACAAAATACATTTCCAATTCCCCCTAGTACCATTTTTAGAGCTAAAAAACAAATAATTTAGTATATTGCAGGGTTTTTACGGTTTTTGGACAACAACAAAATAAAAAAAAATCTTAAATTTAAAATTACCATACTATTTTTGTGGAGAATACGTAAAGCTTGTACGTAAGTAAGTTGAGGTTTAATTGGTTATGTATTTTGATTAAACTTGGCAAATTAACTTATTTTATACAAAGCTATTAATCTTCTACAACAAAAAAAAACTTTATTGCCTTCCCTGTGTAGCAGAAAACCTCGATATTTGTTTAACATACCGCTATTTAAATAGATTTAATTGAAAATCCAATCAGGCAAATGGAAATTCGCTTAGTCTGCAGGTTTGCTGTGATGGATGTATTTATTTAAAAAAATGACGTAGCTGTGTGAGCCAGCCACAGAATGTGCTAGTGTATACAATTCTATTGTTTACCTTATTTTTTGTTGCTGACCAGGTTGATGGATCATAGTTTCTCTATTGCTAACCATAAGGAATATCCTTGGTTAGACTTAATAAGAAAGTTTGTGTATTTAAAAGAATTCAGTAACTTAGATCAGCGCAATCTGTTGGTGGCTCACATCAAACTACGATACGACAATTTTGATAAAATATTTGGCTACAAATTTAACACGAGGATAGAATGTCTAATGGTTGCATTCTTTTTATAAAACATCTAATAATGTACTACAGCTTGATGAGACTAGCTTCCCACAACTATCTTCTATGAACTGAGGTAAAAAATTCAAATGTAATATCGGTAGTCTAGGAAATAAGGAAAAAAGAACAACAAAACTCAACAATGCCGTAGCCTAATATCATTTCAAGAGCATGTTGTGACAGTGACACAGCACATCATGTTACAAAATAAAGGATATCGTGTTGCATAATGCTACTTTAAAATACACAATCAACTTCTTTTCAATAGAGCTATGAGAAAAATATCCTGTAACGATGTAAAATTTTATTGGAAGTGTTTTGTGAAAGGAGATAGAACAGGAATAGTATTTTTTTATATATAAAAACATTATGTAGATTGTTCCAGAGAGAGTAGCAAAGTCACAACTTCATCAAATTCTTATCAGTCAAAACTCCAAAAGTAAATTAGGGTGAAACCGATGGGAAAATAGTTTAGGAAAGATGCGGACAGGAAAACTTGGGGACCCGGAAAGTTAGGAACAAATAGGGGTGATATACTAATTGATTCAGGCCTAATCACCTAGGTTTGCTAGATTCTGTTTTTACATATTTTGGATAAAGTCACTATATATTATGGAAAAATGTAAAATTCTTCTATGCAATAATATCACTGAATAAAATATATTGACACATTGTTAAGATATGCTGACGTAATTAACCATTACAAGTTTAAAATTTGAATATACTTATAATTTTGTACATACTATAATCTTTATCAAAATTGTATTTTTTTCCATACTGCAATAGATTATAGTATGTCTGGTTATTTTTACGTGGTATTTTATCTTAATTTATGATTTGCTGTCATTTTTGTTAGGAACTCTTTAAGAAGACAATTTCTGCTTTTTGGGGAAAATACAGCACTGATCAAGATTGAATATCTTGCCATATATCAACGAAAATGTAGTTCACGACTCCCTGGCTGGATACACCACTGGATTAAACCCTTTTTCATACTACAATTAATACAACTTTTTTTTTGTATTTTTATAAATGTTATATTTTTAAAGCTATATATGTGCTTGAATAATAATTTAAATTGATTATTATTTAAATTTATTCCATGACTAATAACCTTACAAAGACACTTCAGTATACTAAATTTGTTATTTTTATAAGTTCTACAAACGTATTTGTTTAAACAAGGCGACAAATTGAAGGGGATATACACTCAGATTTAAGTACCACTAGAGACATAAGCCTACATACAACTACGATAAGATAATTAGTCGATTTAAAGAATTGTTCTCAGAGCTAATAAAGCCTCTGTTTGCCTCCCCCTCGGCTCACAATCCTATTTGTCCCCATATTTCCGGACACCATACTTAAAGCGTCCATACTAAAAAACCAATTTGTACCGATATATTTTGTTCAACTAGTTCAGTGACTGCTTAATACAGTAGTATCATAATTTTAAGAAAGAATTAAATAAAAAGGTGTCTATAGTATTTTTTTTTTAATATAATATTTAGAAATGTAATAGCAACATTTTAATTCTTTTGCTGTCTGCAACAATAAAATCTGCAACAATGAAAATTGACCTATATCATTGGTAAACTGATTAGCGTCGTATTATGAGGGGCGGGATATCAGTGTTGACCTCTGACCTTGCGAGATAGCAGGCTCTGGTATGTGTGTTATAACTATTGATATGTTAAGGTATTGAGTTATAACTTTCAGTAAAAAAGAATGGCTAGAGGAGAAAATAACTGTTTTGAAAATATTAAGATTAAAAATTAATTTTCAAAAGCATGTTTGAAAATGAGCTCATGATATATCATGATATATCGTACGTAGTTATATATACAATTTCCTCGTGGGAAATCCTCACAGTTCTTAGAAATTTTGGACCACAGACTTTTGGAACTACAATGTTTACAAATAAATATAATTTAAAAGCAGATGTTTACCTTCACCAACTGTTGTATTCTATAATCACAACATTCTGTATTATTCATCATTTGGAATAGTTCCACAATATTTCCAGAGAATGCAGCACAGAAAACTATTTTACTTTTAGATAAGTCCAAATATATTAAACCCCAATCGCAGCACACCTGTGCACTCAAAAAACGTTTAAATTCTCCACTACTGAATTAAATATATATAAATAAAAAGTAAAAACCCTTATCGATAGTTGATAATAGTTGTTAGAGCAACAACACGCGCCGGGTAATTGCTAGTGCTAACCCTGATACTCTCGACCAACTGATACTCTCGTCCAACTGATACTCTCGTCCAACAAAAACTCTCGTCCAACCTAAACTCTCGTCCAACTAATACTCTCGTCCAACCAAAACTCTCGTCCAACTGAAACTCTCGTCCAACTGATACTCTCGTCCAACTGATACTCTCGTCCAACCAAAACTCTCGTCCAACCGAAACTCTCGTCCAATTGATTATTGATTACTCTCGACCAACTGATACTCTCGTCCAACCAAAACTCTCGTCCAACCAAAACTCTCGTCCAACCGAAACTCTCGTCCAACTAATACTCTCGTCCAACCAAAACTCTCGTCCAACTGAAACTCTCGTCCAACTGATACTCTCGTCCAACTGATACTCTCCAACTGATACGCGCTCCACCTGATAACCCTGATTGACCTCATGTATACGTCGGCCAACCCTGCCTGGGCCTCTCGTACCTCTTTCATTCGTACTTCCCTCATGTTTTAGAATCGGCACTATACAACTACTGCCCTCCCTCTCATGAATGTCTTAGAGAGTCTAGAAATTTATAAAGCCAATAAAAAATCCCCTCAAGACGTCTTGAATGAAAAACTGAATTTTGGTTCAAATATTTTATTCGATAGAATTGCAAGCATTGACAACAGAGCTAATACAAGTCTTTATCAGCTGACGTACCCCCTCCCCCAAGGTCAATGTCACCAACTGGACAATGGTTAGTTCTGTCGTGTCCGCCGTGTAACCTGTGTCGGTTTGTCCCGTGTTAAATGTGGCCGGCCTATCAATCGTCTTATATGTTCCGTAACTTGTGTTTTTTAAATAATGAACTTTATGTGTCAACTTGTATTATATATTGATGAAGACTTCCGTCGGATTTTTGACTAGCTTCTACATGATGTTTTGAAAAGGATTTGACAATGGGTCTTTGTACCCGAAACTAGTCATCCATTGACTAAAATAAGACTGAAGACGGACCAAGGTACGTAACCTATTATATACTAAGATATTAACGCAATAATAAGCGTGGCCTACTAATTGCCATGTTACATCTTATGTGAAAAGATCAATTCAACGAAACCCATATATCTTGCATTTAACGTTGTTTCATTATTCTATATTTACTGTATTCATCGGTATTATTGTACCTCATTTAATATAAAATATTTAAGATCACTATTTGGCTATTTTTAAGATTATCCTATAAGGAAATATTATTTGGCTATAAGATATTAAAATATGATTGCAATCACATGATTAATTATGAATAAGGAAGATTTTTTTGTAGGGTAATAAAAAACATTATATAAAAAAAATTCATCAAGTTATTCCTGCTTGCACTTTAATCTCACGATTTTATATTACTAAATACTGTTTTGTATAGATACTTGCTTACAGTCTACAGTTTGCACTAACCAACTACAAAAAGTGCATAAACGTCTAATTAACGTTAAATACACCATTTTCAGATGGGGAGAAATACATGCCGTGGACGTGTTTCGGGACATCCTGTACTTTGGTCACTTTAAGCGTGGTCAGTCTGACGAGGTGTGGAGTGTGGACTTGACCAACCCGACACCGACTCCTATCCTGATCAAAACTGTGGAGAAGGTACTATATCGAGATGTGTTTTTTCTTCTTTAGGTGCAGTGGCAGAACATTTTGGCCATGGTACATGTGCTATACTATATTTATACATATTAATACATTAAAAGAACCAAATTTTCTTAACCCGTGTTCTCTCATAAGTATTTTATACTTATATGCCAACCACGTACGAATCTGCTAGTATCTAATATACTCGTGGCTTAACAGTAGAAAAATAATCGTTGAAATAAATAATAGATAATTAATACTTGTCGAAATTTGGCAACTACGAACCAATAAAACCAAATGCAATCACATTGTCTTTAAAATATTGTAAAATTAATTTCATTAGAAATATACCATTGTGCCATATACAGTACATGAAGATTAGATAAACAGTCAACTTTACGTCCTCGAATTATGATTATAATAGGCAATATATATGTTTATACTACAACGCCTAGTTAATAATAATGGATTTTTTATTTCTTAAGTAATCAAATATAATTAAAACCCATCGTGATTTTTTCTACTGATAGTAAACTTGACAGTGAAGAGATAAAACGCTTTATCAAACTAATGATTGTGACTTGACACTCTGACAACACCTGTCAACGCAATACAGTTGACTTGATTACAGTGAATTGTGTACGATAAGCCTTGCCGATTGTTACTGTGACAAGTAAAAAAATTACCTGTTATTAAGTAACGTGTCTGGTAGTAAACCCATTTTTGCAGGGTTTTCTGGGATTCAAAGCATATCATCCCGATGTACAAAAGGAGTGTAAGCGGCAGGAACCAATAAAGTAATTCTTTGGCATGATAACAACAAACCAACTGATTGAATATAATTTTGTTTATATGTTAACTGAATGGTAATGTCATTACATACATTTAGATTACAGTGTCGGTTTGATTTTTTTACCTACTCCTTAACGTAGTTGTATATAATAAACATACGTCATGAGCTTTAAATTATTGTAGAAGATTAACATTATTTGCAAGATGTCTTTGTTCTTGTGGGATGGTGGAATAATTTATAACGTACACAAACACGATTTCAACACCCCTAAATTTAAATTTAACAATTAATTAAATGTTTGAGGCGGTGATTTGGAAGTAAATATTTATTGGTTTCATTAGGAAGAAAAATATTGTTTTCAAAAGAAAATATTTTATTTACAATGTTTGTATTCAATTCACTTATATCAAATAAATTACATAGTATAAAACATATATATCATTAATTATACCTTAAAGGTGACAAACAAACTAAAAAGGAAAACCGATTCCGTTCGAGCCAAATACCTTAGAACGGATAATATTACACTTCCCATATTACTGTAGTTTAAACTAAACGTTTGTAGATATTTGTTGTTGATTTATACGAGTACTACATTTGTGATATTTAACTAAACTTGATTAATTAACTGTCCTAACTCGCAATAGGGGCTTTTATTAAATATTAGGTAGTGGTTGTTTTTATAACTTTAACGTGTAATTCATCTGATGTATAATGCTTTGCAGGTAAGAGCTTGACTCAAATTGAAGAATAGAGTTAAATGTTTCTAAGAAATATTAATTAATTAATATTATTGTCTCGATAGGCTACACTGATTTGCTAACATGCATTGTCATTCCCTGTTAGGTAAACGACGACCAAAAGTTTGTCTCCTCTTTGACTAAATGGGAATAATTTACAAAACTAAGGGTACAGTTTATTTAGAAATCGATGTTGGATAAGTAACTATTTTTTACATTAGATTTAAAGCACCAAACTATCATCCTCTGTTTTCACATCCCGTTAAAAAGTTCTTCTAAAGCGTCTAGTTGCATCTAATATCAATTCGTCCGGTTTAAATAAGATAAGTATAAACAGTGTTACGTCCCCAAGTTATATACTTCGCAGCATGAGGGTGGGTTGGGCTACTTTATCTGTCCCAGCGGGCAGTTCACTGCTCGTCGTTTATTTTACGTCCAGCCAATGTCCTCTCTTCGCTCCCAAACATCGTCGAGTATTGTCAATTCTTGTATCAATGATGTGCACAAGTTTTAGATATCAACAATTGTTTGGCTAAGTCAACACCTTGGGTTTGAAAGATACCCACTCAAGCAATAGATTATGGATCAGAGAAACAATAATAGTGTTTAAGTAAACTAGGAGATGCATGAAGTAATAGTTTATCTAGGTGAACTTAAATCGTTAAGTTTCATTTATTTGACGAAATTAATCATACAATAAATCTAAACGTTTGTGAAGAATAATTAATTAATTAAAAATTAATTTAATTAAATCAATTTAATTAGCTTAAAAATTAAAATAAATGTCGAATGACAACAAAAAACTTTCGTTGAATGTGAAGCATAACTCAAACGTATTGATGCTGAAGAATTTCAATAGTCAGTAGCCACATACCGTCGACGATCCTTCCAATTTTTAATGCCTTTCTTTTCATATATAGAGAGTTTTTTTTTTCATATTTTCCCCAAACAACTTTCAACTTATACAAATTGGAGTGATAATTTTAATTATAAGATTATGAAGGCTACCGAAGTAATAAATTAATATGCATTAATAAAAAAATAAAAAAATACTTTTAGACAATTTACCTATTTACTATGGATGAGTGGCTATTGCTGCAGGTGGCACGATCAATTATATTGTGGTTATAGCACATATTTAGCTATCCAAGCTGGTTACATTACTAGTCCTTAAATAGGTGTTTACCATAAGAGTACGGTAAACACATTTTGGACGAGTGGTGTACGATATTTTTCGCCATACTACTCTTAACTAACCTAACAATAAAAAAAAAACTTTACAAATTCATACATTTCCACCAAATAAAGGACTTGAAAATCACTTCTTATAACTTATCTTACTAATATTATAAATGTGAAAGTTTGTGTGTTTGTTTGTTTGTTTGTGTGTTTGAAGTTCAATCACGCATAAACCACTGGACGGATTGGGCTGAAATTTGGCATGATGAAGGCTTACATTCCCGATTAACATATAGGCATATTCTTATCTCAAAAATCCTTTCGGGCTCCGCCCCAGTGGCTCTGTAATTCCCCATATTAACCTTATGAGTATTCATATTTAAAGGGAATTAAAGAATTTAGTCAGCTGTTTCAACCAAAAAAGTTGGTTCTATGATATGGAAAAGCATTAAAAAGTTATAAGATTTACCAACAGGGTGCAGCACTATATTTTGTTTTGCATATATGAAAACAGCTAATTTGAGCTAAACAGCAACAAAAAACTGTGATTCGCAATGAGAACTGTCAAAGTAGGATTGGTTAAAGTTATGTTTAAGTTTTTCATTTCATGAATAATTTGTGATATTTTACGAATTGTTGATAATTTATTTTTCTCTATTGTTTAGGCAAAGTGGTAGAACATTATGGCTATGGTAGATGTGTTACTATAGAATACTGTAAATTTAAAAAAGTAAATTTTATCAAACTGTGTCCTCCCTTATTGCAAATGCAAAGCTTGAGCATAACTGCAATAAGCATTTTATACTTATATTCCAACCCCGTACGAAGGACGGGTACTCTGCAAGTAATATTATATGTTTTCGTTTATTGACTCGTTGCCTTATCGCCAATTATAATCAGCTGGTGCCTGGTAAAAATCCATTACAGTACAGTAGCAAGTAATGAAAACCCATTTGACTAAGCAGGCTGTGAACATCTGTATTCCGAACTAATTATGTGTTGAAAGTCTATTATAACAGTGTGGTGTGACAAAAATTCATTTAGTCTATGGGAATATATAACGAATTTGTACAGCTTTGTTATCGTTAGGTTTGTTAAGAAAATTACGGTGAAAATATCGTACGTTACTCGTCAAAAATGTGTTCACCGTGCTCGTCTAATCTCGCTCAAGACGAGACGAGTGACCCCCATACTCGTCCAGTAAACAAATATTTTTCGGACTACAGTAGTAGATTTATGTTTTTTTTTACAAAATAAGCCAATTTATAGAAATTTTGTCATAAGAATTAATAGCTGCAATTTAGAAACAAAAAAATATACTTTTAAATAGTCTTTTTTAACTGCTTATTACTTTCTAAAAGCGCATAACATATTTAATAAAGATATCTTAAATAGCTTTTAAGCTCTAAAATTAAAATAATACAAACAAAATGGGTCTATCTCACTAACGAAACGTTTTTGAAAAATATATGCCTGATTTTCGTTTAATTTTAACTTATTTAACCAGTTTCCAAAAGTGTTGTTCTTAGTTGCGGCATCTGAAGGGGCGTTCTTTTCTGACGCAACTTGAACAAATTATAATCGCTTAAAAATGATCACACAAAATAGGTTATCGGCAAAGAATTGATTTAGATTGATAAATTTTCAAAATCTGACCACTATTCTACAAACAATAAATATAGATAGGACTAAAAAGTGTTGGCTTTAACAATTACCATAGATAAAAACATATGTGTTTCTACACTAGCAGATGATCGGAAAGCCAAAAAGGTTTGATGTGAAGATGTGTATGGAATACTGCCAGGAGCTCTCGATCAAATAAATATTTCTAGTTTTATCTCTATCTGGAATAAATATATTTAATATACTCTTGGCTGAACAGTAGTAAAATAATCGTTGAAATAAATAATAGATAATTAACTTTTTGTTTAAATTGGGCAACTACGAACCAATTAAACCCACTTGCAATCACGTAGATTTTTTACACACTTTGAACTATTTTATAACCAATTTGATTACAACTATGTGCCATATCCATGCCAATTAGATAAAGAGTCAACTTTGCTTCCTTAGATTATGATTACGATAGTCAATATATGTATATACTAAAATGACTTGTACTATGTTCCAATAATGATTACTTTTTATTTCCTTGCTAATCAACTACGATTAAAACGTATGATAATTTTTTTTCTACTGATAGTAAACTTGACAGTGTAGAGATAAAACGCTTTATCAACCTAATGATTGTGACTTGACACTCTGACAACACCTGTCAACGCAATACAGTTGACTTGATTACAGTGAATTGTGTGCGATAAACCTTTCCGATTGTACTGTGACAAGCAAATAAAGGAGTTATTGTAAAATTTTAAATAAAGTAATCAATATAAATTTATAAATTAAATAGCATTCTTTGTGTACAACCCACTCACTTTTTATACGGTCACTTTTATCACTCTACAGTAATAATTATGTTCTTTTAAACCATTAAAAGGTATTTTAACCTTTCTGTACATATAAGTTTGACTTACTACTAAACGATCACACACGGTTGAATCGAGTTGACTTGGGTAGCATTATTTTGAATCCAGGGGTTTTACTAGACCAGTTAGTGCATAAAATCAAATCCATGCCTTTTATTTTTAAGGTAAAATATTTTTTGCAGAGGTTTTCTAGTAAACAACCTAAAAAAATTAAAATATTTTAATTTTAATTAGAGCATAGTAAAAAAAAATACCACTCACTTAATTAAATAAAGAAACCCCCACTTTTGAAACCATACCAAATCAATTGGATGAATCAAAACAGAAAAGCGATCATTTATAAGCTGTAAAACGGTCACTTAATCAAAAGTATTTTACAAAAATACTGACAAAAGATACTTACAATATTATTCTAACATGCTATAGTGATCATAAATGGTTATAATGAATTACTAAATGAGAACTTGTCGATATTAATTGCAGTAATAAGTTCAGGTTTGACTTTCAATTAGTCAACCACGAGAAGTCATTGAGAAGCGGACGATTCCGTGAATATAAATTAGGGAGGGAAATTATCTTAACTGTGACCTGAGCTGGGGCTGTGAATACGTATTGCACTAGATCATTGAGAAAGTATTTTTTTTTTAAATAGAAAGTCTTAAATTTGGCTTTTACATAATGTTTTCATGTTAAATGTTATATTTTAAAGACCCTCAAATCTATTAGATCTATTTTACCCCATGCGGCTAAGTCTTTTTCATATAAATATATCTTATCGTAAAAAAAATTAATTTATCTTAAAAGTTTTTATTATTTTCTATTTAAGTTTTTATATTAGATTTTATATATTATTTTATAGATGTCAGCTACATGTTGATGATGCATTAGACCTAACTAAGATTGTCTTTCGTAAAAAAACTGATTAGTTTAAAACCGTGAGGTAAATTAATAATATAGCAATGAATAAGCTAAGTGGCTTGAATATGCTGTAACAATAAGTGCTTATGCTGTACAGAGAAATATTTAGCAAAGGATACCAAGGTGACATAATGAGGTATGGCAATGGGTAGCCCTTTACCCAATACATCATTCATGTTCATTAAGGTATGAAGACAGTTTCTTAATAATTACTGGGAATTCCAAGTGTTTCTCATTAAGATAGAGAGATTTCAAACGTTAAAGCTAGTGAAACAAGGACCAGAGATGTTCTATAACGGAAGTTAAATAAATAAGTTTTACTAGATGATTTGATGACACAAAGTGCAAAGTGCCCTCCCAATCAACCTATCCATTCAAAAGAAATATATAGAACACAAACATTATTCAAGAAGA